CGCGGAGGGGCCTGGCGCGGCGCCGCCTGGCTGCGGCCGCGCACGTTGCTGCCTGCGAGAGCGGCTGCCGGGAGCCGGGTCGCCCGCAGCCCTCGCCGGGTGCGGGTGAAGGCGCTCCATGGGCGCAGACGCGCCCAGCGCGAGCTCCGGGCCAATTCCTGCGGGTTCCGCTGGTTGCTCGGCAAGCCGTGTGGACGGCGCGGAGCGGGGCTGGGCTGCAGACGGTGTCCCTTCTGGCGTCCGCCGCGCCAGACCGAGAGCAGGACTCGGAGCAGAGGGGAAAGGAGCTGGACAAGCCACTCCCTGGTGCCAGGCAGGATGCCAGCGTGTGCAAGAGGGGGTCCAGCCGCTTTCCGCCCCAGGGCCGATTCCCTGCGGGACGAATCAAAAGCAAAAGGGGCAGACCAGCGCCGGCAGAGATGCAGGACTTCAAGCTCTTGCTGATGGTCAGTCAGCCTTAGGGGAGGCACTCGCCCTTTTAGAATGGGAGAGGGAACTGCCCAATTCTGGAAAGCCGCCCCGTGACCAGTGGGCGGGAGTGCGATGGCCTTCTGGCGAACCTCGGAGGGGCAGATTAACACGCCAGCAAGGCTGTGTTCGTGTCCCAGCTTTGCAGCTCAGCACCCCATGCGAATGGGAAAACGCGTGCCAAAATGTGTCCCTGGCATGGAAGGTCTTGATCCAAGCAGCTCCCAGTGATGGGTTGCCTGGGGACAGTTGGCTGGGCATGCCCTGCGCACCACCATCCTCAAATCCAGCGCTTGACTTGGAAGCAGATCCCCAGCACAGATATCAGGGTAGCTGTTGACCGAATGCACAGAATGAACAGACACTTCACTAGGGCTTGGCAGATTTGCAAAAGACTATGGCAGACTGTCCCTCATGGCATGTGAGCCCACCTCTCCAAGTTATTCGCACTCTGCAAGTGATGCCTAATTTCTGGGTATCAAGATCTTTTCATACTGGTTCCAGCTAACACGTTGGTGGCTGTGCTTGCCTGTTGACCCCTGATTTCATGAAAGATTCAGGGGAATGGAGGTAAGTTCAGCCTTTAGTCGCATTTCTTCTTTGCAAGTGCCTAGCCAAAGCTATCCTATCCCTTCTCCATGCAGCTTCTGTCTGAGTCGCCTATGGAATGACCAGATTAAGAAATACAATATTGATAGTTAAAGTAAAGCAATATTTTGAATGCTCAAAGAATAGATCATCCGGCTTACAATACATTGTGGAGAACATGAGAACCAACCATACTTATTAACTTGCATTTGTTGAGACCAGTGATCAGATAAACTCTCTTTTGTTTCATGCTGAGACTGTAGATTATAACACATGAACTAATTAGAATCCTGAGGCAGTATTATAATATTATCTTGCTGCAGTTCGTATGAGCTCTGAGGCTTAGAAATACTAGCCTAGTATCCAGTGAAGCGAGCATTACCTGTGTATGGCATGAGCAAAATAAGCCTGCAATCCCATTTACCTGGAAGTTAGCTCTTTTTAACTCAGTGGAACTTACTTCTGTATAGACATTGAGTCTGATTATGCTGCAAGTAATTTTGTTATCCACAGAGACCTGTATGTGAGAGACAGATTCTCTTTCTCATGTGGTATGATAAATGGAGTAGGAAAGTGTTGTTAATACGAATAAGTGAGCTCTGAAGAGGAGGCAGGGCAGTCCTTCGGTTCTGCTTTGCCAGTAGCTGCTGGTCACATCTATAACACCCTTATGTGGCATAAGGCACCCCTGAAGATGATAAGCGATGCAATCACACCAAATCCATTCCTACAGTGTCCGTGGCAACTGCATCACAACTTACCAATCACAACAGCTGATGGGGTCCTCATATAATCCATGCAAGGGAGCAGACTGGTCAGCTCACGGCAACTACAGAATTTCCCCCCATGACATCACAGAAGAATCCTGCACAACTCCACTCCCAGCAGGTAGACAATGCCTTTGTAGGTGACGTGTATGGAGGAGCCACACAAGGAGGGCCTGAGGCCAATGGCAGCACCAAAAATGCCACGTGGCGTTTGCAGCACCAGCCCATGGTCATGTGCTGCCTTGTTTTTGTGATTTCTGTCTCATCCAACTTGCGGAGAGAATCCTAGAGCAAGCCATGAGGAGTGTGGTGGTTTAGCAGTCACCCACCTCACCAGCCTTCTGAGGTAGGTAATTGTGGAGGAAGCCGCAGTGGCGTCTTTTCCCTCTCTGATCACAGGAACCCAGCCAATATGTGCTCTCCTCCCCTGCCACATGTAGCAAAAGGTCTCACAGGAGGCAAATCTCAGAGCCCAGAAGTAAAGATCCATTAGATTCCCGGGAAGAACGGCTGAGACACCCCTTTCACTCACTCCTGCAGCAGTTCTGTAACATGCATATGCTGAGCAGCCAGCCACCTACAAAAAGGATTCCCTGGCCAGCACTTTTGGACCATTTATTCATGGTGTGCTGTGGGAATTTGTTTTTAACAGATGTTAGGCTGAATCCAGATTAGACCCAATACAATGAGTGGGGCCTAAAGTAGTCTTACCCTGCATGTTCCATTGATTTCAGGTATAACCATTATTACATCTACATCTTTGTTACCTGTGTCATTTCATTTGGCCTTTTTTCTGCCTCCCAAGTATCTGATTGCCTGCAATGTGGCTCCACGTCCCATCAGTCAATTGAAGACAATAGGAATTACAGTCCATCAACAACCGAAGATCCACATCCTTGGCCTTTCCTTCAATTTTGTGTGTCCCAAGGAATTAGATAAGGAAGAATAGCATTAAGTCACTCTGAGCCACAAGCAGGCTCTATGCAGATAAATAGGTAGGTCTCTTCCCATCTCTGTGAGGGAGCAAGTGTTTTTCATGGACAGGTTGCACACAGGCAAGGCAGTAGAGACGTGACGACCATGAGCTCATGGTAAGTTGCACCAAGACCTGCCTGGAGACTCGGTGCAAAGGAGCATTGGTTTGGCAGTAGCTTAGTGGCAGAGCCTGTGCATTGGGTGCAGGCAGTCCCAGGCTCAATAGGGCTGGAAAAACGCCTGCCCGAAACTCTGGAGAACGGCTGCTGCCCATCAGCGTCACAAAACTGGGCTAGATGGACTGTGAGCTGACTTGGTACAGGGCAGCATCCTGTGTTCCTGCAGTGATAGAAAACAAGACGTGAGAAAGAGTCCATCCCAGAGGAGGTAGTGAGATCACAGCTTCCTTTTCGGAGTCTAGTCAGCAAAAGCAACATTGGCACAACTGACTTCATGGTCCATATTGTCTCTGCTTGTGCTCTTGTGCTATCATACTTGGAGAATGATAGTGTAAGGGAGGGCATGTTGACCCAACATTGCATTCATTAATCCAATAAACATCCTCGGCATTCTTTGGGAAAACTAGCTTCCTTCATTCTTTCCCACTCATTCCTTTTGAGAAGGAAAAGACAAATTGCTTTAAAGCACATAATAAGGCAAATCCATACAGATTAGCACCTGACAATGAGGAGCAAATGCAAGCAAATACTGTTCCCACACATACTGTTTTAAAGACTAGAGCAAAACAATCTCTTCATTTCAATCCAGCAGGGAAAAAAATATTTTTATGTCCTTTGCTGGAACTGGGATCATGCTGAAGAATGGCCTGCTAATGAAATACAGTATTAAAAAAAAGAATAATAAATTGCTGCTGTGCCATGCCCCAACAAGTTAAGGCAAGCAAGCATGCTTGGAGTTATGCATGACACAGAGCTGAATAGTGGGACTTGGCATGCAAAATCCAGCCTAGGAGCTTGAGGGGTTCCACTGTTCCTTGTGATAGTGAAGCTGGTCATCTAATGATTGTTGCGTCAAGATGGAGAGAGAGGGTAATGTGCCGTAGCTGCTTGGCTGGTCAGCCGCATGGAGGTAGGTAGACTGCATAGCTAAAGCTGTGCTTGAAGATCTCAGCAAATGCACCTGATAAAAGAGCCAATGTGGTGAAGTGGTTAAGAGCACAGGAGTGGGACTCGGGCAATCTGGGTTCTAGTTCCCACTCAGCAGTGGAGCCAAATGGGTGACTCTGGGCAAGGCACAGCCTGTTAACCCCCTCACAGGGTTCTTGTTGTGAGGATAAGATTGAGAGCAGCAGAAAGAGAACGATGTCAGTTGCTTCGAGTTCTTAAAAAAAGAGGCAGATTTAAATCTAATAAATAAATAGAATAAGCAAAAGAAAATGCTGCCAAATGTATTCCCCCATCCACAAAGTTAGATTAAGGATGGGCCCAAGTTCAAAAAGTCTGAGAAATATAGAAGCATCTGGGTTTGGGGGCACACATAGAAACACAGAATGATCCTAGAGAAAATAATAAGATCTCACTGGTGGGAAGCAAAGGTTAAGAGGTTTGGTGGCTTCTGACCTTATCAACTCTGTTTCAACAAATCTGTTCAAAAACTTGTCCTGCTTCCTATAATAGTATCATTTCCCCCTGCTCTTCCTTTGAAGAAGTAACATTTGCACAGACAAAGATTATTTAGTCAAATATAAAAATAACATTTGTCTGAACTTTCCAAAATTTGCCAAGAATTGCAGTACCTGTCAGTTGGTGTTCTCCAAAGGAGAGATGTC